GAAAAAAAAAAAACACAAACTGAAAAACAGATTTTTCAATTTGAACACAGCCTAAAACAGCGGTGTCAAACAAACGGCCTGCGGGCCAAAACGGGTCCGCTGGAGGGTTTGATCCGGCCCGCTTGATGGATTTAAAAAAAATGTTTTGTCAAATTATATTTTTATTAAATATGGAGATTGAATAAGAAGAAAAACTTGACATCTAATCAGGCTGAACGTGGCCCCTGAACCTGAATGAGATAACTGCATTACTTCAAGGCCTTAGCACCACATGCTAATAATGCTAATACGTTATGGTGTAAAAGTAATCAAATTTACACCAAGAACCAAAATTTTTTTTTTAACACTAACTGACTTAATGTTAACTCTACGTTGCTCGTTCTTGCTAGCTTGCTAACAGCTAGCTCATCAACAAATCCTGGCCCAGTGACAGTCTGTATTTAGACGTGAAGGTTGAATAATGAACTCTCTGTTCCTGTAAACTGGGTCAGAGGTTCGATAAGGATCAGCAGAGAAATTCAAATGTGACAACAACAAAAAAAGAGTTCGTTTACAGCTAACATGACACCTCATAAATATTTGTGCTTTTGTGTTTTCAAAGAAATCACGAAAGTCAACACTAACAAATCGTTTTAGTTTTAAGAAAACTAAAAGTTTTTTTTTTTTTTAAACGTCGTGGCCTTTTCGTTGTTCTGCCACAGAGTGGCTGATCTTCTCGGCCGACGATCTCTGCAGCAGCTGTTGTACAGAACTGGAGGAACAGGATCAACCAGACCCCGGTAAAACTGGAGGGGGAGGAGGAGGGGAGGCGGGGGAGGTAATGTCACTGTTCAACCGACATCTTTAACAGGAGGGAAAAAAAAAACAAAAAACTGGGTCAGAACGTCACCTGAACGCAACATTTACATCGCAGTTGTCGCCTTAACGCAGCCGTTTATTATTTACAGAATATATTTTAGATTTTAAAGGAAAATGTTCCTGCGTTTGAGGCCAGAAATGAAAGCGTCACTTTGGTGTCCTTTCAAAAATCCCGCCAAATCACACGGCGGCCGCGATCCAAAACAACAACATGACACTTCCAGAGCCACGTTCCCTCCAGAGAGAGAGAGAGAGAGAGAGTGGTTACATCTCTTCTATGACAGCTTGCTGGAAAAAGCCTGCCTGCAATTTATCTCACTCTTTCTCACCCACCTCACCCCTCCCTCCCTCCCCC